CGGTGATAACGTGAAAAAAGAACATGAAAACTTGCGATAAATGACATGCCGGTGACAATCGCCAGCGGTTCGCCACCTTTTCGGGCTTTCGCCACGGATCGCCAGCGACTCGCTGGCGATACGCCGGAATAAATGTTTAGCGAATCGCTGGCGATCGACTATGCATCCGGGTATTAGTGCTCTGTGAACTGGCTTTTGCAGAATTAAAATATCTCGTTTACTTACCAAAATATCCGGCCTGGGAGTTTTTATTGGTACACCCTGTATATCTAGAGGTATTTTTAGTTATGATTGGTACGTATTATTCAATTAATTTCTAATTAAATTATTGATAGTGTAATTGATATAAAGTAAGGTTATGTCACATTTTTGCTGTATTTTAATGATAAAAAAAATAGTGTCTGATTATTTTATTCATATATTATTGGTACATTAAAATCTATTTTAGGGACTGTAATTACTAGCAAAACGCAAGGTTGCGCAGTTTGGCTACAAGAACTATTCAAAAAAACAAAGGGAACAAACACTACACCCGTATGCATAGTCGATCGCCAGAGATTCATTCCGGCGTATCGCTAGCGATTCGCTGGCGATCCGCTGGCGAAAGCCTGAAAAGGTGGCGACCCGCTGGCGATTGTCACCGGCATGTCATTTCTTACAAGTTTTCATGTTCTTTTATAAGGATTATCACCGGCATCTCTCGCATTTTATTATTGATTCATTTCTTAAAACTCAAAAAACAATGAAAGAATATCAAATTTTTTCCTATAAAAGAACATGAAAACTGCGCGAAATTACATGTCGGTGACAATCTCCAGCGAGTCGCCACCTTTTCGGGATTTCGCCGGCGGATCGCTGGCGAAGCGCCGAAATGAATCTCTGGCGAGCCGCTGGCGATCGACTATGCATACTATTGCATACGGCTGTAAAACTTTCCACATGTTATGCAAGTAAAACGAGTTGGCCGATTTTTTCTCCTGTCGCAGTAACTGCAGCGGCCTCTTGCATTAGGTGGTTGTGATGCAATAGGATTATCAATATGAAGATTTTCTTTAATTCTTGATCTTATTGTTTGCGGTAGAGAAGTTAATGTAGCGCGAAAACGAATATGATTTTCAGTTAACTAAGAAGAGAGTGAGTGAATAAACTTTCGACGTGTCATATTTGTATCCACATTTTGTAGATTGTACAAGACCATAAAATTGACTTCAGCAATATTAAACATGGAATAAAAAATAACCATCAACCACCTTCGTGTTTTTCTAGCTCAATCATAGGCCGCGCACATTTTGTCCAACGTGTCCACTCCTCCTTTCGTATCGTTGTAGTCCATGATTATTTCCGGTTTGCTCGTTTGTCGGTCAATCTTATCGTCGTGATGTAGGGTGGATACCAGTAGCACATTTTTCTTTTTCTTGGGAATATATGATACTAAAGTTATGTAATCATTATAGATTTTTTTAAGATATTTGTGTGTAAATGTTACTTTTAGCATTAGATTTTATTTATGTATTGTTCTGTTTTAACTGTTTCGGCAAATTCCACATATGCCATGTGCCTTGCATTAATTAATTTAATAAGCCTTGAAAAATACGAAAAATAAACGTCGAAACGTCGGCAAATTAAGAAATAAATGTTTCCTTTTGGCACTTCCTCTTCCCAGATCGAGATCATCAAATCTCAAATGCTGAAGCAAGAACAGAAAACGAAATTTGGACATTGTAAGTCGGAATATCTCTACACCGGTTCCATCGTTGTTCCATAATTTACTTACATTCAGGCGGCCTGACTTTAGTACCCCAGCCAGATATACTAAATTTATAAATGCTTGAATTTCAACAACATCTGTTGACTTTGTATTTCGCTCGCGGGAGTAATTATCTGAAATTTTCTGAATATGTTGATTTGTATACTGCTTGTATACTACTAACATTTGCAAATCAAAAAGGTATTCCCAAATTTCAGACGCACTTTTCAATTTTTTCACAGCTGCCTTTGTTTCTGGAAGTCATATGATCAAGTTCTCCACCAGCTTGGAAGGAAAATATGTTTCGACCATTTAGATGTTTTATCTTTTCCAGTCAAAACCGTCGTTGGCAATTGCTCCTCAACGTCAGAAATGTCCTGCTCCGAATCTGTATGTAGTATTTGGGTTTCCAATATATCTTCTTCATTATCATCTTCATCCAGAAACTCCTCTTCCTCGTTCTCGGCCAAACATTCCAACATAAGTTTATTCAACCTTTCCTATTCTTTTTCAAAGACACTCATCTGAAAATGTACACAAAAAATGGAGTCAGTACAAAAAGTTTCCATATACCTAACTATGTAAATTATATTATGGTAAAATTTATCTAGACCTTTGGACCGAATCTATCTGCAAATGTAATAACATTTTTACAATTATTTCAAATCAAATAAGACCATAAACTACAAAATGTTTACCCCACAATAATTCCCAAAATTCACAAATACCTATCTTATACCAAAAATTGCGCCAAAAGACTATATACAGGGTGATTCACGATCGATGACAGGTTATACGTTTATGGAGAACTAGACATACTATCGTTTCAGAAATTAGGTCATTTACATAAGCCATGATTCTCTATCGATCCAAATACTTTTGGCTTTGCGACGTTGCCGCTTCTACACTAAAGTAGCAACAACTTGAAAATTTTAAATAGAACACCCTGTATATTAATTAATTTTTGGATTCTCCCTAAAATTACTAATATTTTTTATGTAACACTTCCTATACCTAACTTTAACTGTTTTCAAGATATTGACAGTTAAAAAGCGGCTATTTTCCAACTTTGACAGGCCATAAAAGCTAAACAGCTTAAATCGGAGCAAAAGGGCTAGCACATTCCTATCTTAGTTTTTCATAAGCTATCAAATGATATCTCAATATTTGACAGAATTTTAGGGGGAGGCCAAAAATTAATTAATATACAGGGTGCTCCATTTAAAATTTCCAAGTTGCTGCTACTTAAGTATAGAAGCGGTAACGTCGCAATGCCTTGTATAAATGACTAAATTTTTATAAGGATCCTATGTCTAGTTCTCTATAAACGTCTTACCTGCCATCAACCGTGAATCGCCTTGTATATAAAAATGGCTATATTACCGAATAAAACAAAAAAATACTTTATTTACAACCACATATGTAATGTTGTCATTACTAACGTCATTGAAGGTTGGGAAGTGTCACATTACACACTTCTACTTCCCGCCCTCACTTTCCGCCCTCATTTCATCTATTCTAGATGAATATTTTTTATATTAAAAAAAAATAACAGTGTTTGACAAATTTTATAATACCTATTTAATGGCAAACAATAAAAAACAACAATGATATAAAATATAACAAACTACTTATTGATATTTATTATTCGCGAATTTATTATCCTGCTTTATCTGACATTTATTTATATTGGTGACAGTTGTTTACCCCGTAATCACAGTAACAATATATTTACCTACTTGATTAGTTTGAGAAAACCGCGCGCTTGGTAATTTGTCGTTAAATATAATATTTTAGGTATGTTCAGAACAAAACAGAGATTTATTAACTTTGATCGAAATATGATGGTTGTAAATAAAATAGTATACAAACCTCGGTAGGAAGTTTCCACCTCGGTGTGTAATATACTATTACTCACCTTCAAAAACCTTTAAAACACAAATATTAATAGTTTGGTCAAAAATTGGATTGGCAACTGGCGGCGGACTCACTCCGCAATATTTTATAACATAAGAACAAAAATACACCCACGCTTCGTACTCTGAGATACTACTACTAATTTGATGCTTAAAGAATACGGAAATGCATCGATTTGAAAAAAGGGTTATTACGCAGCGAATGGCAAATGAACAGCGCCTGCGGACTGAGAATCCGTGCGCCAGTCCCGGAAGGTTAAACAAGGCAAGTCAGCGATTAAAGCGATATATTATTCGTATCAAACAAGAGTCAAATGGTTAACTACCTGAGTGAACTAACTAATAAAAAAAGCACAAAATATTCACTCTGAAAAGCTACTAAGAGAATTATGAGGCCCATACTTAAAAACCCACTTATTAGAAATGCAGACAGAACCTGGGCAAGTAACAACACCCAAAAAGCCTGTAAATTTATAGAGCCTTTAGAAATTACATTTTAGCCGGATGATGACGAAGAATATCATGACTGGATTAAACCAATTACAGAAAATATCATCATTAGACCTACTACTTTAAAGGAAATCTCTGATGAAATAAAAAGCATTTTTAAAAAAAGCTCCAATGAAATTTTGAAACAACTTCCAAGGAACTTATCCAATTAATACATTATTCAGACTGAGATATGTACCTCAGCTCTCGGAAATAGCAGAAGTCATGATAATTTCAAAAACAGGTAAATATTTTACCACTTTGCTCAGGATAGTAATAGGCACAGGTACCATTTTGCAAAGTTCAATATTTTTACATGCATTCGGGACCTATTTGATTTCGTTATCAGATGACGGCCAAAATTTGCAGTGGGCACTACACCCCAGTTTAATTTAGTTTAAAAATAATTAAAATTTAAGATCTAATTCTTATTTTGGATCCTTACAAATTTTCAACACGGTTATATACCTTACAATGAGTAGAACAAGGTAGAATAGTAACATACACATGTCAAACGGAGACTATTGTCGCTGGTCGGGTAAAAATATGTATCTCATATATGTTGTGGGACGAGCAGAAGTTGAAGTGATATCGATGGTCACTAACAGCGGTCTCTGTCTATTATGTCCTTATTCCTATCAACTTTCGTCAACTCATTGTAAAGTATACTTTTTGTGTTGAAAATCCATATCTGTATACCAACTAGGTACTAACGTTCAAGTATTTTACAAGGGATAATTTGCTAGGTTAATATCAGATATGGTAAACAAAGTGATTTAATCTCAGAAATAATATTTTATTAATCTTTCTAAAAGCTGATTACTAAATGAATGAATTTTTCATTTCAGTTCCTCCCCATCAACTGCTAATATACGACAACTCTGGTAGAGACGTTAATCACACAATAGGACCTCTCGAAGAGAAATCTGATTTAGTACTAACGTGTGAAGTTAGAGGAGGTAAGTTCATTTTAATCAACTATTCATACATATATTATTGTATTTAACAAAATTATGGAAATTGATTGGGCTCATGAAATTGTTATCCAACAATTTGGATAATGATAGTGGTCCATCGGGACCAATTTGTTATAATGATATCGGTTAGAAGTTGGATAATTAGCTGTAAATGAATCCATTTGTGTATTGACAGTGACTGTATAAATTATGTAATTAAAGTTCCACTTTTGTTACCAGGAGCATGCTGAAATTTTTAGATAAACTAAGCAACTAACGATCTGTAGACGAGTAAATCAAATTTAAGTGAACTTTGTTGGCTGTGTACATGATGAAAAAAGAATCAGTTGCTAACTGTAATAAAATAAATATATATTGACAACAAAGTGTTTATTTAATATTAAGGCACATTTAAAAGTGTACACGTAGATAAAACGTATTTTACTGAGGCCCTTTCTATGGCGCCTCAGTATTGCATTCGTGCAGACGAAAAAATTTTCTGACCCCCATTTTTGAAAACTTTTTTTCATGTTTCTGATCATTCTGAATCCGAAAATCCAAAAAAAAAAATTTCTGGTCGTCTGTATGTATGTATGTATTCCGGCACGATAACTCTAGAACGAAAGTTCTGATTGACTTGCGGTTTTAATTTTCTTGAATAATTACTTCTAACTTAGAACCCTATTGATTTTCAGAAATTTCGGTTCATCCTAACTACTTTAATAACAATTTTCTTAAAATCCGCCTATGCATTCCTTATGTGAACAATTTTAGGAATTTCAATTATTTCTAATGTCAAAATTCCTAACATTCTTCACATTCCATAAATTGCAAACATTCTCTAACGACTTGTCAAACAGCAGCTGTTGATATTAAAGGTAAAATTTCTAAGGCGGGTTGCGACCTTCATACTTGCAACCATATAGCCATTTTGGAGGCTATTTTTACTCGAAATTAGCAGCCAAGCCTGCCAATTTATGAAAAATATACAAGCAATTTCTTAAAAAAATACTTTTTTATGGTGGTGCTAACTTAAGCGTACTACTATTTCGCCCTTAGCCACAAAAACACCTTAATCAAATTTATTAGCTCTCTGTCGCAATCCCATAGAATAATTAACCGGCCATTTTATTTGGCAAAAATCAGAATAATGCTTGGCTGTGCCTGTCAAGTATCAAGATGTCAACTGTGATGTGTGAATGGTCCTTAAATGTCAAATTATTTAAAAATGTATACTTCTTTTGATATTTATTGCAAATAATTTATAGTATATCTCAATTCAGGCTTTCCATAAAGGTACAGCAAGATAGATAATATAATGTTCTTATACAAAGGTGGGATATAATGCTGGTTTTTTGTAGAAAATTTTTATTATACGATTTTGGATTATATATTCAACCAGCGAATTGTAAATAATAATTAGTAAACTTCTAGTCATAAATTTCCTCAATAAATAAAATTTAAAAATGAATCTTCTTACCTTGGTACCGAGGTATTTTGTTGTGTTTTTTTATTTTAATTATAAAGTTGTCATTTATTTGTATGTTGAAAGAAGGCCTTTGTAAATTACATTGCTGTCTATGAATCTACTTTAACACAAAAACAGTTTTGTGACTATAAATTGCTATAACCTATCGTCGCAAAACTATTAATAATTTAAACATAGTAAGTAGTATTATTATAACATCAAGTAGAATGGTTTTAAAAATCAAAGCTTATGGAAATCATCACATGGTTTAACCTAACTAATGCCAATGCTTCACAAACCAAAAATTTCAACGTCCTAATACTACTATCGGCTTTCGGTCTTTCGTTTCAAGTTAAATCATTTCTCGTTTTTGTTACTCTACGAGTTTAGCCTTGTGTGCCTTAGTCTCGATAAAGTGGGAACCACCATTTTAGCACCACTCGAATTTGTTTTACAAAAATTGAGAGTAGAAATCCTTTGACTTTTTCAACTTTCTTGCAGAATTACCTGCGGGAACTTTTTTTTATGGCCAATTGGCAATGCCAAGGCCATAAATTAAAAAAAAAGCTTTTTTAAAGAACTTTCTAATTAAAGGAACGAGGTCTTAATCACCCCGTCATAAAATTTCCTATTTAGTTTACTAAAAATTTATAAAACTAGTCTACCTGCTAAGATTCTAAATTCATTATTTTTATACGGTTTTTATTGGTATTAATAGTTATACATCCTTATAGAATACTCAAACCGAATTTTTTGCAAAAAATATTCCAGGTCGATTTGTCCCCGTATCGCCATAAAGCACAATTTTTGCCCATTTTACAACTACGAAATGGTATAAGCCTGATGGTATAGGCTAAGCACAAAAAACACCCAAAACAACTACAAATTTTTGTGAAAAAAGATCTCAAAAACAAGAAAAGATAAGTGTGTTATTAACTAATCAGAAAAACATTTAATAACAAGGATGCAGATAAAAAGTAAAGAATAGTATATTACGTAACAAGAGTTGTAAGTAACCCATTACGCACGAAGTGAAAAAGTTTACGGACGAAGATGCGCAGCGGCGAGTGCGTACATTTTATGAGTGCGTAATGGGCTTACAACTCGTGTAACGCACTATACTTTTTCTACGCCCACTTATTTTCTTCTATTAAATAAAGGACATAATATGTTTGTGACGCCAATCCATAAAATTTTGATAGGTAATTTCGTACCTTTTATTGGATTTTAGCGGTAACAAATTATGTTTGTCATCTTGACCTTTTTCCAAAATCTCCGGTGGAATGCTCATTATTTCATCATTTTCACTACTAACAGATATATTCGTAGTTAAAGTTAAGAAAATGTTCTAATACAATAATATTTTGTTACAAAAATTGACAATATAAATTATAAACATTTATTTCTATAGCATGCTAAGAAAACGCGACTTATTTTTTGAAAAATTATATAATGTGTTGCCGACATTTAGGGGCATCACTTATTTAATCCAAAATGTATCTCGCCAATTCTAAAAGTTTTTATATTTTTCAATTGACTAAATTTATGTAAATAGACGAATTAATGTCGAACGTAGATAAAAATTTTATTGCAATTTGATTAAACTAAGAAATTTAAATTTTCTTATCAAAACGCACGTGTATGTTATGAGATCTCATTACGTGCATGTTATTGTTAAATGTCATTTACAAGGAATGTTGACAATGCGATTTTTAACGTTTACTGATATGGGCGTAGAAAAAGTTATTGTTTTTTGAAGAATGTAAGGGTAACCAGCCTATTACATGTTTTAACAATGACCAAGAACAATAAATGGACTATGTATAGTTTTTTGTTTATTACAATTATTATTTGTGTGTTTGAGGATCAATTCAAAGAATATTCCTTATACATTTTTTTCATGTAATTTTATTTACATATCAATATATCCTAACGTCAAAAGGGAATATTATGAAGATCAGTGTTGCGGCAGTACCAGGGTACATCGGCGATGTTCCTTAATACTTTATTCTGGAAACGTTGAATAACTTGAATCTTACTTTTACTGACACAGACCCACATCTGGATCCCATACGTCCATATGGGTCTCAAAATATGTATATAAAGAAGGCTAACATCGTGTCATACGCAGATATTTTGCTGTATTGGCAAAAGGAATCTGAATGTTTATTATAATGTTTATTCTAATAGGAATATATTCATTTTGTTTATTGCTGAAATTAATATGGACAGAGTTGTCTTCAATCAATTTTATTCGCCATATTTTTGTCCAGGTGTTAATCTGGTATATAGATTTTTGCAATTTTTTATTAGCATTTTCCAACAGCAATAATTACAGTATCGTCAACAAATGATGCGATAGTATTGGCCTCAAGATTAGGAATATCTATTATGGTATATAACAAGTAGGGTACTGGACCTTAATTTCTCTTAAATCAGAATTTGAAATAACTTTTTGATAAATAAGATTTTAATAGCTCAGAGTATTAACGAGACAGGAACATGTTTAGTTTTTGAATCAGGCTTTCATGCCATACTTTGTCGAAAGCCTGCTCCACATCCAATAAGACGGTATAGCAATTTTTTTTTTATTGTAGGGACTTCCCGATGATATCTATCTGTGATTCCTTGAACTTGGTCGACGGTAGAGAATTTTTCTCTGAAGCCAAACTGGTGGTAGATCCTTTTCTTTTATAATAGGTTATTTTATAGGCAATTTTTCATAGAGTTTCAAGATAACAGGTAACAAGGAGATGGGTCAGTGCGATGTTACTTCATGGGCAAATTTACCTGGTTTAGGTATCATTATAACTTCTGCCACTTTTCACATCTTTGGTACGTACTTTAGTCTATAGGGCGCATTCATGCGATTGGTTGACAATAGCTTTCCACAGAAGCATTTTTAAAATTTCCCAGTAACGAGGTCAAATCCAGGAGCTGTTATCGGATTTATATTTGTTTGGATTTACATATAAACTTTTTTTGGAGAGGTAGGTTTAACGACTGTCTTCTTGTGCTAGTTCCATCCAGTCTTGAAGATCTTCACCATTATTGGGTTAGAAGGTACTATCTAAATGTTCCGCAAATCTGTTTGCTTTTAGGCCCAGCTTCCATCTCTATTTCTGATTGGTTGGTTTTATATAGTAGGGCTTTTCAATCGTTTGGAAGCTTTCCAGAGTGGATAATCGGTACTTTTATCGTTAGTTAATTTATTTTAGTTTTCGCCAATCGACTAATTTTTAATGCGTCGTATTTCACGTTCAAGCTATTGTGTTGCGTTGTTTAAAGTTATTTTATCATCTGATACTCTAGACTGTTGCTATTTTCTTCTTTATTTTCTTTTCTTAATGTTTCTTTTTTCTCATTGATGCAGCTTCTTATTTTTCTTTTTTAATGTCTCTTTTTTCTCATTGATGCAGATAACTTTATAAGTAAATACTTTTAATAATGTTATACATAGGTCTATGCAGGTACATTCAAAGCTTGATCCTGTTTGAAAGCCCAAATAAAGCTGGGTCGTCAAAACAGACTAACT